GGATCACTACTTTACAAGGCCCCTTTACCTTTTTGGAAACCAATAAGAGCAATAGGGGCAATAAGAAACAAAAGTCCAAATTCTAATTTCAGCAAAACAATGAGCTATCTAAAACTTTAAAGTCCAGGTCAGGTGGAAGGGCTGCCCCACATTAGGGGAATTTCTAGCAGAAGTGCACGTGGGCGGAGAGAGGCCAAGTCGCAGCTACTGCAGATCTCAAAAAGAGCTAGAGAAATGCATTTCCCAAGGGCGAAGGACATACCACAAGGTGCAAACGCAACCTCCAAACCTCGAGGTCTGTTTTGGGTGTCTGAGAGAGGGAGAACAACAGAAGCTTCCTGTACTGTACCTTGCTTCGACCAGAAAGGCGGAAGAGGTGAGAGCCGAATGACATCCAACAGGCAAGCCACTGCCCCTCTCTGGGGCAGCAAGATAGAAAAGGTGCTTCATACTATGGAAAGCTCCATAAAGAAGCATAATTAGTAAGGTAGATGTGATATCAAATATACCTTAGTTTCAGGTACCCAGAGAAAATTCACAAAAGTTAACTGCATACTAAGCTACTAAGGAAACCTCATTACGTTTCAAAAAGGAGAACCAATGCATACATCATTCTCTGATCACTATGTTGATTGTTTTTTGTCTTTTTTTTTGGTACCGGGAATCAAACTCTGGGCCTTTCGCTTGCCAGGCAGGCATTGCACTGCTGAGCTACATCCCCGGGCCCTTTTTTGTCTTTTTGAAACAGTTCAGGCTGGCCTTGAACACATTTTGTAGCCCAGGCTGGCCTCAAACTTTCAGTGATCCTCCTGCCTCAACCTCCTGAGTGCTGGGATTACAGGTGTGCACCACTACAGTGGCCTTCTCTGATCACTATGTAATACGACTGAACATTAATGTTAAAACTAAGGGACGGGCAGGGGATTTAGCTCAGTGGTTCCCGCGCCTGCCTCGAAAGCGCAAGGTCCCAAGTTCGATCCCTGGCACCAAAAAAAAAAAGAAAGAAACTAAGGGAAAATGATACTCCTATAACCTAAACATTTTTATTATTGTCTTTTTTTTGGTACCGGGGATTGAACGCAGGACCTTGGGCTTACGAGGCAGGCTCGGTGCCACTGAGCTAAATCCCTGGCTGTCTTCTTTTTAATTTTTTTGGTACCAGGGATCAAACTTGGGAACTTGCGCTTGCAAGGCAGGTGCCAGAACCACTGAGCTAAATCCCCAGCCCTGTTGGTCTTTTTTTAAAAATAAAAACTCTTGAGAAAATAAAGAAATAAAGTTCAAGGTGCAGAATATTTAGATAATAGTAATAAACAAAACATACCAGAATCTTTGAGACATAGCTAAAACAATGTTCATATCTTTCTGGTTTCAGTGAATAAGCAAAAAACTACATTAGAATAAGTAGGCATCCAACTCAAGAAATTAGAAAAAGAATGACAAACTCGAGAGACAGAACAAGCTGGGTGTGGGTCCAAGTCTGTAATTCCAGCACTGAGAGGCTGAGGCAGGAGGATCACAAGTTCAACCCCAGCTTGGAAAACTTAGTGAAAATCTGTCTTAAAATATAAAAAGTGTTTAGATGTAACTAAGCACAAAGGCCCTGTGTTTAATCCCCAGAAGTACAGAAAGAAGGAAGGAAGGAAGGATGGAAGAAGAGAGAGATCCAGTGACAAGTCAGCTCTATCACGTCCCTTCTGTCATAGAGCATGAGGTGATTTATATACTCTGGAAGAAACAGTTATTCTATATTTGGGTTCTTCTTCCCTGCAAGCAGACTATTTCATCATCCCTGGAATTATCGTCTTCACATAACACAGGGTGGTCCAGACAAATTATCTCTAACCAAGAAACTCCCTTCTCCGTGAAATAAAGAAGACCGTTGGCCGGCCACGGCCATTATCATGTTTCCTATCCACCAGAAGCAGCTGGCCTTATAGAACAATGAAATGGTCTCAGGAAAACTGATCTAGCAGAGGCCGGGAGACCACACCTGCAAGGCTGGGACGCTCTCTTGCAGATATCGATATGTGATCCCAACAGTGACAGAAATGAAATGCCAATTCTTCCTCAGCCAGGACAGAAGTCCAGGAAGCAAGAGTTGGGGTGGAGGGTGGCAGCTCTCTCAGTTCTCTTTAAAGATATTTGCAGGGCCAGGGATTTACCTCAGTGGTTCCGCCGCCTGCCTTGCAAGCATAAAGTCCCGAGTTCGATCCCTGGTACCAAAAAAAACAAAATAAAGATATTTGCTTTCCATCCTCCCCATTCCTCAGGCTCTGTGAACATAACTGGCCCAGGCACACCTCATTTGGGACTCCTCCAGCCACTAGGGCAATGGCAGAAGAGGGTGTCCCCATGCTGGCTGTGCTGCCCTTGATTATGAAGAGGAAATAGGGTTGTGACTCCCTGATATGGCCTGGGTGGAGTAGAGATGGGAGGAGGATGAGCTCTTTGGGTGCCCTCACAGCTCACACCCATGGCCAAAAGTAACAGAAAACTCTCAGAATCCAGCAAATGTTCTAATTTTTTCCTTCACTCACTGTTGGTTGTAGCTCAATTTACCAATTTGTTTAAGGTTTCAAGATGGGAAGAAATAACCCTTGGTTAATGAGAAACTAGAAAAGGAATGGGAACACTTGGAATTGTGAACTCTGAAAAAGTTCAGAGGAATTGTTGAAAGCTCCCTGAGATGTCCCTTCTGAGGATCTGAATATGACTTGGTGTTGCCTACTTTTAGGCACATTTGTGGCTGTGGTAACTGAAGAAGTGAAATGGAGTACATATGGCGACATCCAGGACTCATTTCTGGGCTCCCTTCTATACTCTGACTACATGCTGTACCCAAGCAGCTTCTCACAGAGCTACATAACTCCAATGTTGATGGCTTTCAAACCTCTATTTCCAGCTCTAGTTTCATCTGGAAATCCAGACTATACATCTACCTGCCTACTTGATCAACCCACTGGAGGACTCACAAAGATCTCAAAATAACATACCTAAGTAACACTGATTCCTATCAACCCCTAAAATGCTCTTCTGTCAGTCTAACCTTTCTCCATAAATGGCACCATGTGCCACTCAGTTGCTCAAAACAAGAATCTAGAGCTCCCCTCTCCAATTTGGTAACCATTAATGATATGTGGCTACCTAAATTTAAATTTTAATTAAATAGGGCTTTGGACATAGCTCAGAGGTAGAACACTTGCCTAGCATGTGTGAGGCCCTGGGTTCAATCCTCAGAATAATAATAATGTCTATGTTATTATATATTATAATATATAACAATATATTATATAATATATAAAATGTAATTTATATTATATATTAATAATGTAAATGTAATATATATATTATTATTATTATCATTTCAGTCTCAGTTTTTCTAGCCACATTTCAAGTCTTTAACAGCCACGTGTAGCTACTATATTGTAAGTCAAGATACAGAACATTTTCATCATCAGAGAAAGTTGACATCAGTTCCTCTTTTTGTCCCCTCATACCTAATCCACTAACAATTCTGAAGATTTTACCCCAAAACATTCCCTGAATCAATCCACTTCTCTCCAAGTTCCTTCTACTACTCTGGTCAATACTAGTATCATCCACCATCTACTTGGACTGCTGAAATCACTTCTTCCAATCTCACCCATAATCTGGACTTCCAATCTTACCCATAACCATTTCTCCTACAGTGGACAGAATGATCTTTTTTAAAAATGAAAATCATAACAAGTCTTACCCCTACTACAACTTTTCTAATAATTTCTGCGGCAGAGACCATGCTTTTATCCTTACATCCCTTCCCGCCTTCTAACTCAGTAATAGAACCTCTGGAATTTAGGCAAGCACATAGAAGGCCAAAGTAAATCCATTTTCCAGAGTCTTTAAACTTAGGTGTGGTCACATCATAAAGCTTTAACCAATGAGATGAGAGCCTGTGAGGTTGTGTGCAATTTCCTGACATGTCCTTAAAACCAGTGGGGCTTTTTCTGCTACTTTAACCACCGTGATGGCTGAAGCTAGACTAGAACATGGGGTGAACTTGGGAGTGGATGCGCTGAAGAGCAACACAACTGAAGAAACTTGGGTCCTGCACACAGTTTGGGGCTTTTCATCATACGGGGAAACTATGTACTTACTACATAGCTTCCCATCACACTTAGAAAATCCAAAGTCTGGAAGGTTCTTCATGACATGGTTCCACTCCAAGAAAATCCTCTCTACTTTCCCCTCACTCACCATCCTCTAACCATGCTGGCTTTTCATTTGTTTTGTGTCTGCTCTTACCCTCCAGAATTTAAGTGCCACAAGGGCAGGGATTTATTTTGGTTGGTTCACTGCTAACGCATTCTCAGTGTCTAAAATGTGCTCAAAACCTACCACTCAAGTGTTTATCAAATAAATAATTCCACCAGGGGGGTGGTTTAAAGCAGGGTTTTTAAAAAATTCACAAGACTCAGATTCGAACAACGACCCACGCACCAGTTGTGTGATCTGCTGCAAATGTCTAACCTGACTGTAAAATGAAGATTCCACCTATGACTTGGGAAAAAATGAAATGGCCTTTCAAAAAAAACTCTCTCCTCCCTCCTTTCCCTTCTTACTCTCAGCCCCTCGAATGGCCATTTTCCTCCTCTGTCTGTCACTGCGCAGACTAGAGCAAGTCTTTGAAATTTGGCGGGAATTATCTTTACTTTTGTAGGACTAGAGCTGTCCACGCTCAGGACCCCGCCTCTGTCTGGCGCGCTAACTTTACAACCTCGACAGCCAATGAGAATTAGCGTAGGAGCTCCAGTGCCTAGAAGTCACCAATCGAAACTGGGAGGCGGGCCTTAGTGGAAACAGTGGCGAGAGGAGGCGGGGACAGAGAGAAGGCACGCACAGACAAGGTCGCTTCGGGCCAATGAGAGAGGCTCGAGGCCTGAAGGCAGTGGGGCGTGGCGTTGGCGGCTCCGGCACCCGGAGGCGGTCCCAGGTTGGGCCATTCAGAGCGAGGAGGTGGGAGAAGGCTAACCAATCAGCGTTCAGGACAGACGAGGCAGGGGCGGCTGAGTCTGGAGCCGACGCTGCCGGCTTCCTAGCTTCTCTGTCAGGGTTGCCCGGCGTGCGAAGGCGGCGGAGGCGGGAAGGCGGCAGTGGTTGAAGGAGCGGTTGCTGGTCTAGCCGGGAGGAGGTCGCGGGGTGTGGACAACGATGGTGATGGCGGCCAAAAAGGGTCCAGGTCCTGGTGGCGGGGTTGGCGGAGGAAAGGCGGAGGCGGAGGCGGCCTCGGAGGTGTGGTGCCGCCGGGTGCGGGAGCTGGGCGGCTGCAGCCAGGCCGGGAACCGCCACTGCTTCGAATGCGCCCAGCGCGGGGTCACCTACGTGGATATCACCGTGGGCAGCTTCGTGTGCACCACCTGCTCCGGCCTCCTGTGAGTGGACCGGCGCCGGGGGAGGGGAAGGGGGGAGGACGGTGAAGGAAGGCCAGATAGCTGGCGTAGGGGATCGCGGGGCCAGGGCGATCGGGGAGACCGGGATCAGGCCGGACGTGGGGCGAGAGAGGGTCAGCTGCCGCAGGGGAGGGGAGGCGCAGGGGCGAGAAGACCAGGCTCGCGTTGCGAGTCGCGTGGCGGAGGCAAGGGTGGGGGCTGAGGAAGGACGCCCGGAGAGCCGAGAGAAACTCCCAAGGGAAGCCAGGGGAACTGCAGGTGGGGAGGGACAAAGTGTGGAGAATTGAAGGGAAGGGCGCGCGGGGGGGGGGGGAATTAAAGGGCCAGAAAATGACATGTACCTTTAAAGGGAACTTCAAGTAGGTGAAAACCAAAAAGGAAAGAGATAGGGAAAGCTGGGCTCAAAACAAAGAAAGATCTTTCTTCTTTCTGGCTTGTGCCCCTCCTGGAGTGTGAGCTGCAGAAGCCAACTGAAAATAGGTGAGTTAACCCAGGTTGACAGCTAGAGATAGTGGTGTGGTCCAGGGTTCAGGTGCAGAGCCTTATCTTGCAGGGCTTTGGAATGCTAGCCTCGGGGTAGGCTGGTTACGAAAGATAAGGGGAGTTGAGAACGATTGGGTTATCCTGGTGAAGAGTGGAACTTTTCCAAAGGTGTGGGGATCTGGATGAGCGGTTCTTAAGTGTATTCATTTGTACCTTTAAGCGCCTTGTTGCTTGTTGCCATGGCTACCGTAGATCAAGGCGGTAGCATCCAATAAACTTTCTAAATTGAGGAAAGGGGGCTTTGCTGTATAGCCTGCAGTGCTACCCTTGGTACTTACACAGAATTTGGTCATGCCAGAGCTACTTGAGAGCTACAGTTCAAGCCCAGATTTCTAGTCATACAGTAATCTCCCCTTTAGGGAATTATTTGATTAGATGCATGACTAACATCTGATACTGGCCGTAGATCGCTGGTTTTTATGTTTGATAATGAATTTATTTTACCTGGGTTTTAATTCTATCTTAATAGACTATTTTATTTTTTAGCAAGGAAAGCTTTCCTCGACCATAAACCTGTAGGAAGCAATAAACAAGCTGTATTGTTTTTGTATGACAGATGGGAGAACAGAAGTAAAGAGAGGTGTAGCAACTTATCCAGTGCCAGATGGGGCTTGCTTTCAGCATTTGCTCTTTGATATTAGTTATGATCATGGCAGACCAGAAATGAAGATCCAGGTCTCCTTAGATACAGCTTAGAACTATTTTTCCACCCTGTTTTTATCTTCTATGTCAAATTTCTATGTTCTGATCAACCTCACTCATATGTTTTGAGGATGAAGCTGATTTTGATCTAACTCTTGGGACAATGATTTGGAACCCAAACAGGGAAAGCTTGTGTGTCATAAGACGGAGACTTAAGACAACAAGAGGAGGAACAAGTTTTAGGAGTACTTACAGTGTAGGTAAAAAAGAAAACAACAGTTTCCTGAAGATGCTGTTATGAAAAGGAAGATCTTATTGTAGTGTCTGAGGAGAAGTAAAGAGAAGTGGAGCAATAGCATTGATGATCCAGCTAGCAACACTGGTCCTAGGCTGAAAATGTCAGAAAATGGTGTTAATTCATTCCCAGAGTTAGCAGTGATGGCATGAAAGATAAAACTGAATAAATGGGAAGTGCGACATCATTCTCATTGTTTTCTAGATCCTGGTTTAAAGTATCCTACAAATAATTTTTCTATAATGAATATCCCTCAGTCAGGACGGAAGGAAAGTCAAGGGATCTGGGCCACATTAAAATCCTGATTTCTTTTACTGGTAAAGTCAGATCATTAAATATCACTCTACAGGGCTGGGGATTTAGCTCAGTGGCACCGCGCCTACCTTGCAGGCGAAAGGTCCTGAGTTCAATCCCTGTACCAAAAAGAGAAGGAAAAAAAATACATACATACATATATATATATATATATATATCACTCAATAGTTTGCAGAACCATAACCCCTTTACCCCTGTGGTTGGTTTCGCTATTGTCATCTCACCAGGGAAAGGTCAGACACCCAGATCTGGTGGCCACGGCCTAGGGATTGATAGTTTAACAGGTGAGGGACTGCAAGAGGACTGGCTCTCTCTAGGGTGTATTTTCCTCAAGTTGGCAAACTGAGTGGAGCTTAGCTCCTTAGGAACTTACATTCCAATCCAACCAAGTAAGAAGACTCTATCAGCCCTTTTATGGTTTCAGGAAATTCTAGAAAAGGCGTTTTCGGCTAATATTTTGGTAAAGCATTATAAGAATCACCAAGGGTATGATTCTCAAGGTGGTAGACTCTAGGGAACATATTTTGGTGGTTAGGAAATGAGATGCAAGGGCAACCCTTTGCAAGCAGGAAATAAGAGCAGAGTGAAGGAGCAAGAGGCTAGACCAAAACGGAGCATGGTAGCACGTGCCAGTAATCTCAGCACTTCACTCTGGGAGACTGAGGCAGGAGGATCACAAATTCAAGCCCAGCCTGGGGAATTTAGTGACATAGTGAGATCCTGTCTCAAAATTTAAGGGTGGGGGGCTTCCTCAGTACCAAAGGGGGAAAAAAGTCCAAGCCAATGAATGAAACTGAACTGAAGGCATATTGAGGTTAGAAGGAGCGAAATAACAGGAGAAACTCCGAGAAAGCTGGAGTTTGCCTGGCTGAGACTGCCAGTGTGGCCTAGGGCGAGGCATATAATAAACCATTTAAAAGGGTCTTAAAGTATTGCTTGGCTCCTTACTGTGGGAAGGGTTAGAAGCTGGCAGGTGGGCCCCAGGCAGACTTCCTGGCAGGGAATGATTCTCACTGTGCCAGGTGAGGAGAGGTCACCAGCAGTCCAGCCAAGGGCCAGGGATTTAGCTCAGTGGTTTTGCTGCCTGCTGCACAAGCTCAAGGACCCGAGTTGGATCCCCAGTACCAAAAAAAAAAAAACAGTCCAGCCAACAACAGAGAGCCATGGCTTCCTTGTGGCGCATAGACCAGGTAGCATCTTTGGTCCACCCACTTGGTTGCTCATAAATTAGGCTTTTGTGGTGGTAGGAAGTAAAAATTGTGGTAGGGCAACAGCCTACACTTTTATTCATTCAGTTAGTCAACAAATATTTATTGAGTACCCCGAGAACCTAAAACACTGTTTTCTTTTGGTTTGGTTTGATTTTTTTTTATTTTTTAGAGACAGGGTCTTGTTTTGTAGTACAGCCTGGTTTGAAGTCACTGTGTAGCCCAAGCTGGCCTCAACTCATGGTGATCTTCCTACCTCAGCCTCCCAAGTGCTGGGATTATAGGTATGCACCACCATGCCTAGCTTTTTGTTTTGTTTTAGTTTGTTTTGGTTTTTGAAACACTATTTCAGATACTGGAGATATGGTGGTGACAAAGTCCCCATCTTCATGAAGCTTTCCTGCTAGCAGTTGCCATGGACGGTGAATACAGTGGACCCTTGACTTACAAACTCGATTGGTTCCTGACGGCTGGTTGTAACTCAAGTTGGTTGTAAGTCAATATAGCTGAGATCTGGATGTTTACCTGGGTACACACTGTAGATAACAAGAGGCAGATGAATCTTCCATTAACCTAATTAACCCAAATTGTTCGTATGTCAGGCTGGTCATAACTTGAGGGTCCACTGTAAGTCCTTCTTTACATGATTGTATGTAGTGCTAGGTGCTATAAAGTGAAGGTTCAGTTCAGTATGGATTAGACAATGATGGGAGCTCATATTGAGGTGTGAAGCAAAGAGAAGAAATATTCTTTGTTAAAATAAGAAGCATAATAGCTGGGTGTGGAAGAGCACCTATAGTGCTCTGGGAGGCTGAGGCAGGAGGGTCACAAGTTTGTGCCTAGCCTGGGGCAACTTAGTGACTTAGTGAGACCCTTTGTCAAAATAAAACAAAAAAAATTTTTTAAGGGCTAGTAATGTAGCTCATTGTGACGGTCTGAGTTCAATCTCTAGTACCTTAAAAAATTAAGAACATATTGAGGGAAAATTTGGAAATGGCATTCTTAGCCAGAGAAAGGAGACAGCAGGATTGTTTTTTTTTTTAAAGGCCAGTTTTCTGATGACTGTGTTCCAAATCTGTGTCTCCCTTGGGGGAGGGAGGCTTCTCGGGGCAGCACAGAGCTGCCAGGGCTCCCAGCTGGCTGGATTGGCTGGTGTATCAAAATTGACTATCACAGCCAAAGTTGAGCTTCCTAAGATCTGAAGACAAATTTACATTCTAAAATTGGTGGGTGGGTGTGATTATGCCTTCATCCTTGTATGCATGAGTTCATTCTTCCTCTCCCTTCTTTAATGAGAAATGTTTTCTCAGCTATAGCACAAAGTTATAGCATTGGTGTGAGGCCCTGAGAGAGAGGCTGCTAGTTTGTGCCGTTTCTAAATTTACATATGTGCTGCCACAATTGTAGGTCCCAAATTTGACCTAGTTTTACTAATTTGGTTTTCTTCCAATACCTAATTTCCTTAACCTGGATTTGAATCCTTTTAATTTCCCTAACATATACATATGTTTGTATATCTAGTTATAGTTCTGACTCTGCTACTGGAGGGTGAACCTGCCATTTAATGCTTTAGATGAGGTAAAAAATTTCCCCTAAATGCTGGACATGGTGGTGCACATCTATAAATCCCAGCACTGTGGGAGGCTGAGACAGGAGGATTGCAAATTTGAGCCCAGCCTGAGAAACTTAGCAAGACCCTGTCTAAAAATTTAAAAAGGCTGGGGTTGTAGCTCAGTAAAAGGCCCTGGGTTCAGTGGCCGAGAGAGAGAGAGAGAGAGAGAGAGAGAGAGAGAGAGAGAGAGAGAGAGAGAGAAGAGAGAAAGAAAAGAAAAGAAAGGAGCAAGCCACTAAAAAGGATCTATTTTCAAAGTGATGCCTTAAATGTTCTTTCTTCTCTTTCTGTTTGCCTGAATGTCTTTGTGGATAAACCCACTGTTTAGAAAGAAAATGGACGTCAAAATCTGAGGTCTCATTGACAT